ATAAAGGACCGAAAACGTGGGTCGAACAAAGGAGGGAGCGCTCGCGTCAAACAACGAACCTAAACATGGGCCGAACAAAAGAGAGCGCTGAACTTCCCCACGTCGCAAGACGAAAGCGCACCTTGCTCGGAAGCACAGCCAACAGGTCTACTATGACTGGTCTCCGAGGATGAACAAAGAATCCGCAGGCGTAGAAAAGGACGAGTCGGCGTTGGAACGAGATGATTAATATATAGATAGGGACTATGATACCTCGCGTAGGCAGATGTTGCAATCTGGATGTACGCTGTGCCTGCAACTAAAGTCTTGTGACCAGATTCCGCCGCGTCCTGTTTGCTAGCAGCCCGTTGCAACAAGAGGTGTCCCATTACTTCCAATCATCTAGTATTTGGATTAGAGTAGTAAAATCATGAAAAGATCAAAGATGTTAAATGCAAATATAAAACATCTTGTAGAGATTGTAAAGGAACTGAGTTCAGCGATATCTGTTGTATTTTACATACTTTGAAATGAACAGTGGACAACAAGATAATGTAATATGGAATGAATGAGGAGCTTACTGAACAGTGGTCAACCTTCAGATGCAAATAAATATCTCCCATGATGCAGCTTCGAGTCCACCCCTCAACAAAGGGTTAGTGAGTTGAAGCACTCTTCTCAACATACGAGCAAACACAATGAAGGCCGCTCTCTGCAGTTGTTCTGCTTTAATGTTGTCGTCGATATTTTTCAGTCGTTGCTGGTGTCATTATATCACCGTTCCCAATGAGCTAATCATTGCTGAATCATCTCCGCCTTTATATACCAGATCTTCTCTATCTTCATCCTCAAATATGTGATATTTAATTACATTTTCACTAATGAGCAGAAGCTGACGAATACCGGCCTGAAAAAACCATCAGATAAACTGAGAAACCAATATATGGCTTGATTTGATAAAACGGCCCAAAAGGGGAACGAAAACAGCTCAAAATTTTCTCGCTTGGGGGGGGGGCTGCAGTTGCTGCAGATACGTTGGGCGATCTTATAAAACGCAGCAACACTCCGTTGAGGTAGACGTGCATGTGAAGAGGAATATGATCAATGAGGTTGACCTAATATCAATCTGAAGTAACATCTGTAACAGAAAGACGTCATAAAGCCAGATTATTCTACTGTTTATGCCCTGTTAACCTCAGATGACAATGACGAAACAACAAGAAATCGTCGCAAGTGTTCTCAGCCTGTGGCAGACAGGAGAGCATTTACGATTCAGATGACTCCAGTAAATTCCTCTCAACATCCCTTGCCTGTTGTCCAGAGTAGACAAAATATGTGGAATAGCAAACCTATCATGATGACTACCACATATAACACGATTCAAGACTTTCACGCTTCGTCACATATTGTCAATCTATGTCACATGAAACTAAAGGAATCAATGTGAATCAATTTAATTACTCGGATGAGGAAGACTGGAAAATCCTTTCGAAAGCAAGTTGCATAAAAACAAGAGTTTGTCGCGTGTAAATATTTCAAGTAAAAGTTTTCTGCCATACGGTCTGGGAAAGAGGCAGCTTTTTGTATAAGAATCTGCCTATACCTTGCATCTGTCACGTCATTATTGTGGTGCAGCATGGAGACAGATGTTCTAACAAGGAGCAAGAACGAAAGCTGAGCTGTGTACAGCAGCATAATTAGGGCATGTGTGAAATGGCTTCTTCCGCCTTTAGGCACAAGTGATCTGAATAGAGGATGAAACTAAGAAAAAGATGTTGGCTGTATTAGACAAAATGGTTGAAGATATTTATTCCAGCTCGTGAACGTCTCGTGTAGGTGCTGAAAGACGGCAGACACGGAGGAACAAGGTGCAGGTAGATCTGCTTTCCGAGAAGAATTTTTCCTTCTACGATTTGAGTCACAGTAAACGTGTTGCGTAAAGAACTCAGTCACAAAGTAGAGACGTTTTGCTTACACAAACGGCCCATGATGATGATCACAAATACTCACTTACAAATATTTTCAGTGAAGTTTCGTTGGATTGTTATTTAGGTCCTGGTAGATAAATGCACAATTTAGATCCGAAAACAACGGCCAAGAAATACGATGTTACTTTTATAATAATTACGCTTACCATGGCATCATTCAAGCAGGATTCGCCGGTTTCGCTATCATTAAAGAAGTTTTTGGCGATCGAGAGAATATCTTCATTCAACGATAGAATTTCTTCAAAGCACATTGCAAGACCTAAAATTAATTATTTTCTAAATTATGCGAGACTCTGAACTAGATCTATAACATCGTCGTGCATCGTGCAAAATGCGGCATTGTTTTAGATAGCTGACTGCATGAAAAAAAACAAGTTAAAACATGAAGGTAAAAGCGAAAGCAACAACTAGCATGTATTATGGATGGTGATGTGGCTATTCCAAGCATGTTGCAAAAATTGACTGACTTACTAATGCTTCAGTTTTTAGAATACCTTATGCACACAGCGAGAGATTTAATAAGGTT